AATACTAAAAGTAATGAAAAACAATACCTTGTGCTCAAAAATAATCAGGCACTTGTGGAATTTTTTTCAAACCTTCAAAAATGTTTTATTCTTTTTCACAAATTATATTATTGTACCACCATAAACGTAAGAGACAGTATTCATAATCAATATTTGAACTTCATGATTATTTTTGAATATAATAATCAGGAACCATAATAACTTCTTTTTTTGTGCCAAAATAAGTGGTAGGACACACCATTTTCACTTCTCACAGTGTACAGCAAATTATCTGGAATGGGACAATGGGGTATTGATAAGACCCTAGGGGGCCATACTGAGGGAAATGGAAGTCAGTTTTCTAACTATCTAAAAAGATTCAAAGAGGGACAGAAGAAATGGTTGTGGGAACTGAACAGTTGAGCTCATGGAAAAGGCGAGGATTTTGAGTGTCCCTCCATTGTTTCTGTCGCTGATGGGAATCTATAGTGAATAATTATGCTGTAATTGTGCAGAGAGGCTGTAGACATCCTGACTGAGGGGCTGAGAGAGGCCGGCAGGCGTCGGTCCTTCTTCCTATCACTCAGGAACAATAGGGCTGTTTGTCCTCTGGGACATACTAGCACCTTTCCAGCACAAAACCCACGGTCTCTTACCTGGTTAGGCACAATCAATCCAGACAACACATCCTCTCTCACACAACTACTGGACACAGGAATAGGAGTACTTGTACAAATACAGCAGGTCATCTGACCCATAAGCAGGCATGACATTCTCGTAAGGCTGCATAATAATAATAATAATAATAATAATAAATTAACCTCAGAGAGAAAGTTTCAAATGCAGTCTGAGCAATCACAATGATTGCTTTCATTGGCCAAAGAAAAACTAATTCTTATTTCTGAACAGAATCACTCAAACAGTCCTCTCTAGATTATAGCTGTTTTATCCAATTATAGCTCAATTAGCTTTCACATTTTTAATGTTTTTGTCAAAATCTCTGCTAAATAGGACATACAGTATGTGACAGATTCTCAACTAGGGGTCTGGGGCCCACTAAGGGGCCTCAGAAAACTTCCAAGGAGACCTCAAGATGACTTAAAATAAGTCAAAACAACTTAGTTTTTCAACTGTAAAAACCTGTATAATAAATCCTGATTTTAAAAGTGTGATTTCTAGAACTGGAACAATAAAATCTTTGTGGAGCTTTGAACATTGTGGGCATTTTTGAATCTACATTTTTTTTTTTTTATGTTCTGTGTAAAATAGTGGTAGTATTATGTCAAATTGCACGATGAAGAGTGATGTAGTTACAAATGGTGTAAATAATTTTAAATAAATAAATAAATACAATTTTTCTAGTTATGCCAAAGTCTAAAATATTGGGAAGAAACTGTGAATAAAATATTTTTTATAAATCCTAACAAAAACAACAGGAAAATATAATGGGGCCTTTGTTGTGGGGACTAAAGTCACAAAGATTGAAAACCACTGAAGTGACATTAAACACATTTTCCCCTTAAATCAGCTTTGACAAAAACATGGGAAGAATCAGTTAAATTTAAGTTAAAACTTACATTGAGTTTAAAGTGATGTAAATGTTTTAGGGCCGACTTGAAGCCATTCACTGACTTCATCTGAAATATTGCTTCAAATATAACATTTTACTGAAAACAGTTTTGGGCAGACAAGCCGTTGGTGCCTGGTATCAGCATTTATGCACTTTGCTGATGTAAATCAGCACTCATAAAAGTTTCGCTAGCTTGTTGGCAGCAATGAAGCACAACTTATGCTGGAAAATGTTAGGGTGACCTCTATAAAATGCACACTGGGGATTTGTAAAGTCTTGCTCTTCTGGTTTCTATTAATCAAGTTGCGTGCTGAAAGAAAAAGAATGTGCATTATAGAAAACAGACCATACAGATGTCCTACAAAATGATAGAAGTCAATGTAAATGCATTACTTCAAGTTTTTATTTATTTATTTTAATCTTAAACATCTATAATGCAGCAATTACACACTTAACTTTAAATAATGAAATTACTGCTCTGATTATACATCATGAATCTAAAAGTGAATGTAATTACTGATTAGGGCTGGATACAAATATTTTCTGATTATTCACAATCTTAATTAAAATAATACTTAATTAGATTTTTTTTTTTACATTCCAAAAATATTCTTTTTTTTGTAACACCATGGCAGCTTTTGAGACTATTTTCAAGGTAAGAAATTACATCAGATTATATATATATATATATATATTATCCAATTATAGCTCACTTAGCTTTCACATTTTTTATGTTTTTGTCAAAATCTTTATATATATATATATAATCTGATGTAATTTCTTACCTTGAAAATAGTCTCAAAAGCTGCCATGGTGTTACAAAAAAAAGAATATTTTTGGAATGTAAAAAAAAAAATCTAATTAAGTATTATTTTAATTAAGATTGTGAATAATCAGAAAATATTTGTATCCAGCCCTAATCAGTACTTCAGTCTCATAAGCATATGACAGGGAGCATGCATGGAAAACATATTAAAGCTTTCCAAGTTAGGACTTGTGCAATATAGTCATGTGTCTGCATGCCTCAGGGCAGAAGATGAATATTAAGAAGTCTCAAAGAATGAAAGTTGTAAAACATTCTCTCAGCAGTCAAGTTCCACCAGCTGGCCTGGTAAATATTACAGCAAGACTCCATGTAAATGTAATTAGGGTGGCTGAATGAAGTGGCATAGGAATGGACATGAAATCCCACAAAAAAGTTTTCTGATAAAGTTTCTGTCCCTGGGGCCGCTGAGTGTGACAAATGAGCCCAAAGCTTGAGATGTTGCACTTCATTATAAGGTAATCTTGCAGGACTTCATGACATTTAATAAAACTTAGCTCTTCTCTGGTCGGTTTCTTTCCAGCACTGCCCTTGGTGTGAATTCCAGTTTGTCCTTCAGGCTGAGGAACTGTGTGTTGTCCTGACCGGTCAGTTCCTCTAATTTCCTATCCTCCCGTTGCTCGGCAATGCCTCTCTCTTCTCCTGGGGCATTAGGAGTTCCCCGGATAAACCACTCAAGGTGGTATCCAACAGCTCCCACCACAAAGGCCACTGGGAAGGTCACATAGGGCGCATAAGTGCGCATGGCAGTCCAGATCACTGGCCACATGGTTGCATAAACCTGAAATTAATTTTAATTAATAGTTTAAAAAGAGAAGTTACTGGTTTGAATGAGTTTGAAACCATTTTCCCCCCACATATTAGCAACATGGACATTACAGTGGAAACATACCTACTGTCATTGATTAAAATTCAAATAGAAAAGAATCAAGTCAAGATAGTGAAAAAAAACTTGAACACAATCATGAAATCTATATTGACACCCAGCCCTATTTATGATTTCTGGCATTGTTGTGCAATGTGCAAAATTCACACTAGACGGAAAGAACATCTGACAAACACAGTACCAAAATTCAACTGTCTTTACATTTATTATATTATATGAACACAAGGAAGCCTCACTTCAGCACAAAATTCAGCTGTGCAATTATCACTGATATTTTAGCCATAATAATGCTTAGGAAAGCACTACATAGGTAGTTCACTGTACTGTACATGCAAATGGACTCAAAACCACAGATAATTGGTTTGAAATACAAGCTAAACCTTCTGGTTCACATATTCAAAGTGTGTGCAGAGTTCTTACATGAACCGAAAAGACACTGAGGAAGAACTTAGCTTTCATTCCTCACTATTCACTGTGTTCATTATCACTAATTAGCAAAAGACAACAATGACAGAGCTTGTATGAATTTCTCAGTGTTCTGAGCCACTCAAAGTTCAAACATTTTCTAGTCCCACTCAAGTGTTGCCTTGCATAGATGCACTTATATTCATGCAGACACAAAACTTAACAAAGGTGGTCTTTCTTTGAGCTTCAGTCTCATAAGCATATGACAGGGAGCACGCATGGAAAACATATTAAAGCTTTCCAAGTTAGGACTTGTGCAATATAGTCATGTGTCTGCATGCCTCAGGGCAGAAGATGAATATTAAGAAGTCTCAAAGAATGAAAGTTGTAAAACATTCTCTCAGCAGTCAAGTTCCACCAGCTGGCCTGGTAAATATTACAGCAAGACTCCATGTAAATGTAATTAGGGTGGCTGAATGAAGTGGCATAGGAATGGACATGAAATCCCACAAAAAAGTTTTCTGATAAAGTTTCTGTCCCTGGGGCCGCTGAGTGTGTGACAAATGAGCCCAAAGCTTGAGATGTTGCACTTCATTATAAGGTAATCTTGCAGGACTTCATGACATTTAATAAAACTTAGCTCTTCTCTGGTCGGTTTCTTTCCAGCACTGCCCTTGGTGTGAATTCCAGTTTGTCCTTCAGGCTGAGGAACTGTGTGTTGTCCTGACCGGTCAGTTCCTCTAATTTCCTATCCTCCCGTTGCTCGGCAATGCCTCTCTCTTCTCCTGGGGCATTAGGAGTTCCCCGGATAAACCACTCAAGGTGGTATCCAACAGCTCCCACCACAAAGGCCACTGGGAAGGTCACATAGGGCGCATAAGTGCGCATGGCAGTCCAGATCACTGGCCACATGGTTGCATAAACCTGAAAAAATCAGTCCAAGTTCTAGAAAGTTAATTAGCATTGACAAGCTGACAATGTAGCTATTATCATTACTACGTTACCCAGCGACAAATTCAAGGATAACATATAGACACTTGCTCTCAAGAAGCCAAAGGTACAATTGTATGTTGTTTTTATAAGGCAGCAGGAATGAAAAGAGAATGACATTATGTTAAAGTGTCCAACTACATGTTTATGTAACATAACTTGATCATTAAAGAATCAAGTAACTGTTACAAGGGTACCGGTGTCAAAGCACGAGGCGCAATAAAAAGACATTAATACAACATATATGTTCCTGAAAACATAATGGGGGACCCACTGACGATTTAGTGCATAATATTTCATAAATCCATTAAATCATTCGCGTGTGCGTTTATAAAATCTCATGACAGTACGTACCTCTTATCTTCAGGCCATTCAACTTCCTGCCTCCTTGCGTCACTGTGAGCAACAATCTGATTGGCTCTTTTTGTACGTCAGAATGACGTTTTCATGCAAGGCAGAAAAAAAAGCTCTATACAGGATGTCCTGTTAAAGCAATGCTGACACCCAGTGACCAGTGGAAACATACTGCGAGTTTTTGTCCTTAACTTACAGCTCATTTTTGAATAATATTTCTAATAATACTACTTCTAATAATTGTACAATACAATTAATTTGTATATGTAGTACATATATGGTATACTCAATTCAGACACAATATTTTTAAAATGAAAAAAATATTTTAAAATAAAAAAAAAAGAATAATGACATGAATGAGAAAACATCACAATTAAACAGATACAATAAAACAGATTTTAATTACATTGTTTAAGTGTAAGCAAAACAGCAGCAGAAAAAAAACAATACACAAAAAAAAAGGTTATAAAAGGGTGTTAGGAGAGCATAAATATTATCATATAAAAGGCATAAAGCAAGGGAAGGGAGGGAAACCTAAACATATTTGCATTTCAAGCATTCATAATCAGATTTTTTTTTGCTAATATTCAAAAAGTACAGACATGTTCATTAAAACAAAGAAAATCAAAAGTTATTATACTTCTATGACATACTCCCATTAATTAGTACATAGTGCTTGTTGCATAGCTAATGTCATTTTATTCACATATACCACAAATATTTTTGGCAATAGTTTAGTCTTGAATAGCTGGTTGCATTACAGACAACCAAATCACAATAGTAGTCTCTTGCGATGAGTGCTTTAATTTGGCTAGGTGGCAATGCTTAATGAACATAGTTTTAAGATACATGTAAAATCAGGGTAAGCTGCAGTGAAAGGCACTGTTGAGAGGGTGAGGTGGCATGCTGTACACTCGGAGTCAGATCATCTTTTGAATTGCTGATGCAGTCCTTTACATCAGTCTGGTAACGGCACCAGAAAGGAAGTCTTCGTAACTCATCCTCACATTTCCAGACATGGCTGTGTCTTTCTCACGGAATGCTAGGGTCATGATCTGAAGCCGTGTGCACACCTGAATGAAGCGGTCCAGCTGGAGAACCCCGTTCACACCACGCACAGAGTAACGATTCACCAGTTCCTGAATGAACTGAGGACTCAGACTGTAGCCCATCTGAGATAATGCTGGGAAATAAGAAACAGAGTAGTAATCAAAACATTACATTTACCCTATACAGTTTTTTTTTTCAGCCTTATGCTGACCAAGGCTGAATTTATCTGATAAAAAATACAGCAACAACGTTAATACTGTGAAATTTTATTCACATTTTAATAACTTTTTTATATTTTTGTATATGTTAAAATGTCATTTATTTCTGTGATGCAAAGCTGAATTTTCAGCAGTCATTACTCCAGTCTTTAGTGTCACGTGATCCTTCAGAAATCATTCTAATATGCTGATTTGCACAAGTAACATGCCTTATTATTTTCAATGATGGAAAGTTGCCGCTTAATATTTTTTGTGGAAACCTTGATCCATTTTCAGTTAGGATTCTTTGATGAATAGAAAGTTCAAAAGAACAGCATTTATTTGAAACAGAAATCTTTTTGTTACATTATAAATGTCTTTACTGTCACTTTTGATCAATTTAATGAATCCTTGCTGAATAAAAGTATTCATTTCTTAAAAAAAAAAAAAAAAAATCAGGGAATGCTTACATTGCTAACTACTGGTTTTACATAAAGGTTTATGTTTCTTAAATGACAAAAAGTGGAGGAGTTTTGGAAATTAACCATGTTAGAAGGACTTTTCCCCAGCAAAGCCTCCAAGGGTCCCTAAAATCACTCTCTTTTTTTTCCACAGGCCCGTTCTAAACCGTTCTACTGTCATTTTTGTATCCACCATGTTTTCAACACTGTCACTCACCAGTAATAATCCATACACTTTCAGGCCTATTCACATCTTGGCTTCAACTATCGCTGCAGATGAAATATTGCTCTGGCAGTCATGAACAGACTTGTTCATACAAAATCAATGAGTATAAAAAAGACACTGAAAGATAACAGCTACAATTTTTGAGGTTATTTTAAGAGCAATTTTTCATGACGTCTCAAGGAAATCAGCCCTACAAATAATGGTGTATTCAATGGCGCAAGATTAGATGGGAAAAGGGGTTCACAGCAGATAACACAAGCTCAGCAACTGTCTTTTCCTTGCTTCTGTGACTGCTAACTTCTTGTGTGTGTGTGTCACTGAACCTTTCTATATTTAAACAACTGTTTTTTTTCCCCGTGAAAATTTGACTAATTCATGTTATTTGTAATTATGTTTTGTCTATTGTGCAAATTCCTGGAACTATGAGCAGTAAACATATTAACCTCTTTGCAAATTCCAAAGATAAGTGATATGCTATGTGAATCACTTAAAAATGATTTGTGGAAATACACAAAGACATAGTTGATGGATGCAGTGAAGACTTCCTGTGGTTAGATTTAGGTTGTGATTAACACATTGAGCAAGCCTTGCTATATCACAGCAAGAGCTTTCTGAAGGATCATGTGACACTGAAGACTGGTGTAATGTTGCTGAAAATTCAGCTTTGCCATCAAAGTAATAGATTACATTTTAAACTATATTAAATAATAAGAAAAATAATACTTCACACTATTACTGTTTTACTGTATTTCTGTTAAAATAAATGCAGCTTTGATGAGCGTACGAGATTTCTTTCAATAACAGTCAAAAATCTACACTACCATTCAGACTGTTGAATTGTATAGTGTACATATGTGGAATATTCCTCAAATTAAACCCCAAAAATGAAAATATTCAGAATTTCTTCATATTTTTTTTTTGTGAAAGACAGCTGAGATGGAGACTGTGTTATGTTGTACTTTTTATCAGTGCTTTCAAAATTAGCGCGTTAACGCATGCGGTTAATTTTTTTAGTTTAACACGTTAAAATATGCAACGCGATTAACGCAGGGGCGGAGCTAGGGTTGGCCACTCCACTCACAACTGCTGCTTCGGTCTCTTTTTTTCTTGACAAGAATTGCGTTTATTTAGACGCAGAATGTCTTTACGATCACATCAAGCGGGAAAATTCCCAGACGCACACTCCTTCTATGAGTGCTAGTCAAACGAGTGGGGAAAAGGTACAGGTGACGAGGGAGCTTCAGTAGAACAACAGTGAACTTGTTATATATGAATCACATTTAAGAAAATGTCTCTAAAATGCAGTTTTTCAAAACTGTCCTGGAGCAGCCCAGCACTGCCTCCCTCATCTAACACACCCGATTCAACTCGTCAGCTCATTAGTACAGACTTTAAGACCTGAAGTGGGTCAGAAAAGGTAAAGAGTTGTGAGAAAATACAATGCATGTCAGATCTGCATCATGTTCAGCAGCCGGAGCTCTAAAAGCCGAAATAACCTAATAACCCTGCTGCTGTGATGTCTGTTCATCAAAGAACAAAAGACAAAAAGAGGAAATCGATAACTTTTGAAGTTTTAAAGATTCATCTTTATTAAATTTAGAATTTAGTGTTTGATAACTTTATTCAATTTCTGTGTATTTCCTACTTGCTGAAGGGCACAGGTAGCTAAATATGACATTTATCACAATGAGATTATGTGAAGATTGTTTTAAGTTCACTTAAATTAAAAGTTGTTATATTTACTGTAATGTTGAAAAGCTATAGTCAATGTTTAAACATTAGGGAAAAAAACAGTTTCCTAGAGACATCAGTAGTATTGGTATCAGTGATTCTCGCCTTCAGTCATAAAAACGATGTCATTAGACAAATATTACAAATATACTGTCTTTATGTTGTTCCTATAATAATTAGAAGATTGAGTGTGGAATTATTTCAATATAAATATATATTAAAAACGTGAATATTAAGTGTAAAAAATAAAATAAAAATTATGCGATTAGTTTTTTTTTTTTATCGATTGACAGCACTACTTATATATATATATATATATTAGGGCTGAACGATTTTGGAAAATAATCTAATTGCAATTTTTTTTTACCAATATTGCGATTGCGATTTAATATGCAAGTATTTTTTTAAAGCTCTTTATGTTCTGTATTATTCAACAAAGACAAGCTATAAATCATTGTATAGTATGACCAACACACTATTAGATAGGTTAAACATAAATGTTCTTTTCTGTAGGCCAGGCCTATATGTTACGATGAAATTAGGTGATGCATGAATTGATATGAATGACATTTTTATTTAACAACTACAATCACAGTATATTGACTGATTTGTTGAACTTCCAACCTTGTAAGCATGTAATAATTATGACAACATAAAGCACTGACAAATAAGCCTGATGTAAACATGAATATGAAAGTCAGTAACAAATGACACAAACTAAAGTAGATTGCAGAAATATAAAAACAAATCTGTTGCTTTACCACACTACTTTAGGTAATTCACAGTCACTGTAATAAACATATGTAAACATGTGCACTGCACTTTTTAAACACTGTCTGTTAACTTTAGACCAGTGGTTCTCAAACTTTTTTGGTCGCGCCCCCCTTTAAACCTATAAAAAAAATCTGCCCCCCCTTTCCCGAATCCCCATTCCACCTCAGACTACCAAATAATTTCATTAAACATTATGAAAAATGAATGCTTTTTTAATTTAAAAAACCTACATGGGAAAAAACACCTTCATCACTTGAAACATTGAAAAATAGCATAGAGAGAATGACTGTTATTATTATTATTATTATTCTCTCTCTGTTATTTATTTATTTAACGGTCGCTTTGTCACGTCCAGTGTAGAGCTGTTGCGGCGCGACAACTGTAGCGTCTGGTATAGACACAGTGAGTGAAGCCGAGAGTAAGATATGCCTCGTCATATTTTATGCATTTAGCTTTTGAATGACCAGCACCTGCCTGGGTCTGTGCGACTTCATCTATGGCTTTTCTCTTCACTTTCACAAACCAATCCATCTCCCATTCTAAGTTACGTCCTTTGGCTGTTTACTGTTTTATTTATTTTCTTTTTCTGCTGATGGCCCGCGCTCGACTTGAAGCAGCGCTGCTTAGACCGATG